TTTATGAAACATATGTTTCTATTCCAAAAGTGCAGGTAAGACTTTACTGCTCAAATATTAATGCTAATGTCCATTATCTTTACAACGACATGTCCATGCAGTTTTGCATACAATGAAATCTATGTAATCCAGTAAATTTAGTAATCTTAAGAAATATATAGATTACTTGCAATCTAGTAAATCTATTTGATTGATTGGACTCCACAGACACATTTTCATGCTACTGCACATAAAATTAACCACAACAGTGTCACATTAATCTGGAAAACACTTTTACAGTTCAGTCACACCTATTCGGGTCTGGAGGACAACACAAACTGTTGTCAACTGCAGGACTCAAGGAAGAGTTGTGATTAAAAAGTTGCCTTCATACCAAGCACTTTCATGACAATCTGCACAAAAAGCAGGAATCATTTCACGCCTTGTGCACTCACTTTCCGAAACTCTAGATTTATTCAACTGAGATTATGAATTGTTGGAACATTCCCATTTATGTTACACAGACTTTTAGCCTACTTTGCCAATTTCATCTTTTTTTTTGCTAGTTTATCTCCATCTTACACGCCAGGGTAAACTTCCTGTCCAAGATCATACTAATTACCCCCCCCCCAGCTAGCAAGTTTTTAAGGCTGCTATTCAAGAGGGCTTTTATGAACAAGCATGTGAGCTGGAAGGTGTGTAGATACACTCCCATCTGCCTTTTTTCAATGGTCATTTTCTCTAGCACTCAGTAATTATGATCAACAGAGTATTCACAGAGTGCTTGTGCAATCAGCGGTGAGGCAGCTGCCCGTCCATCCCGGCTGGACGGAACACGGTGGTTCCATCTCACTGCCCGTCAGGTGTTGGCAGAAGCCAACAATAGAGGTAGATAAATATGGCACTTTAACCTCCCAATCAACACTCACAGGGATGTCTCTGCCACTCGTTTGTGTGGAAAACAGAGTCAAAACGGGTTTCTGAAAATCCAAACTGAGGTGTTTAAAATGAATAGAAATCAAGCTGGGGAGTACTTTTGTTTCTTTGTTCACGGAAAGAATATAATACAGTTTCTGTATTTCAGATCAAGCTGAATATTTGGGAGGTTTATTTCATCCAGCCTGCTTTTTGAAAAAGAAAATAAGAAACAGGATTGAGGTGAGAGGGTCATGGCTGGCGCAGAGATTGGGGTTACAAAGTGAATGTTGGATTGCATCAGCCTTTTTCCATAAGGCTCTGCAGACAGCCTGTAGCTAGTTTTCATTTATTGGGAGGTTGGTCATTCTGGTAGTGCATAAATGTTTTACCCTGAATGGTTCACAATCAGCATGAAGAATAATAATTGGTCTCTCAATAATGCTTTCTTTAACATTTCAAATGTAATAGATTAATTCCAAAAATAGCAACTATTCTTTGAAAAATACATGATTTTCAACACAAATAAGCATTGAAAATTCAAGCCGTGGGCTTGTCCCATTGGACCTCAGGCTTACCTCATGGATGTAGAAGTGACACCATAGATCAAATCAAAAACCCTCTGAACCTCTGAGGTTTTGGGCTAATTAATCTCTCCCTTGAACAGAATTATTATTTCTGATGTTGCCTGTCTGAACTGTCAGAGTCCTTTCTAGAGATGTCAGAGAACAGAAACAATATGGAAAAATCTGTGTGACATTCAGCTGCAGAAAAGAGTGTCAGACTGCTTCTATTATGTTCCGACAGGATGTAAAGCAGCGGTGGCTTATCGAAGACAGCGAGGGTGTTGTTTCGCTGTGATTAACTCCTGCTCTGTGTCGAGCCTGAGCCCAGCACCTCTACTAAGCCTGAAAATTGCATTCATTTTCATTTTGTTTTTCTATTTTGGCTCCATTAAAAGAAAAAAAAATGAGGACATATAACAATTAAATAATGCCTCTAAGCTGGTAATGAGTCTTCTCATCTAAGTGATAGCTCTTAGTGATGCTGAGTCATTGAACGTAATTGTTTTCCGGATGAGAAAAGAAACCTTTGTTTTGTGAGATCCCAAAGCCGTGGGCTTTTTAAGGCTCATTATCCTTCATTTTCCAGGACAGGTTTTTATTCAGGACTGTAATTACATTTTGTGTGCATGTGTGTGTGTCCATCTCTGTGGGGTGCACTTTGAGGCAGTGACATGCTAATTTCATTGCTAAAGATAAGGTCAAGGCCTTCCCTCAGAGTTGCTATTCTTTTGCAAAAAAACTATTTCCAAGAAAAGTAAAAAAAATAAATCGACAAACATTACAGAACTATCTCGTTTAAGACTCAAGCTAGACATTTTTAGAAAAGCCTAAACGTCAAATGGAAAGTTATAAAAAGACATTAACTCAGGCATGTTCTGTGTGACGATTGTCTCTGGTGTGGGATCTCAGTTCTGGGCCAAACTCAGAAACTTTCTGGAGAATGAAATGGCGAGTGGTTACTGAAAAAGGACAGCTGAGGAAAATGAAAAGGGGAGAAGAGTAGAGCTGATGAGGAGAAAGTAGTGATAAAAGGTTAAGCAAGCCAAGAGACAGAGGCACAACACAGGACAGGGGCATCCAAATAAAACAGGAAACAGAGACTCAAAGCCTAACCTAGAAACCCCCCCAGTCCACAACCAAAACCCAAGAACCTTCCAGCTGTGAGCCATGTTCCTTTAAAACATTACCACGCACATCTCAGGATGGACATCAGCATCATCTAGTTCCTCTTGTTTGTTCCATTTCAAGCTTCTCAAGAGCTGAAGGATAGAAAAACCTGGGCCCGACTTTTTTCAGCAATGCCTTTGTGGCTTTGGCAGGTTCTTGCTAAGATTTATGGGTAAATCTGTAAAAGATGTGGTCTGACAGCTGTGAGCTTCTCTGCCAACACAGGAGTGAAAAGCTTTGCCAAGAGCACTGAAACAACCCCATATTAAAGCCATTTTGAACTTTTTAATGGTGCACAAATAGTGTTTCTTTTCATATTTTGCCTGAAACATAAGGCGTATGTCTCTCAAAAATAGAAAAAGTAACCCTTTGCCCAAGTAGTTATGTCAGCAAACGATTCATGTATTTTAAACTCAGGAATTCACCCGGATTGCTTGAATGGTTTTACAATATTCTTCAACAAAGTCACAGAAATATGCTAATCCCTTCCACTCTTTCTTTGTGGAACATAGTTTTTCCAACAGATCAGTTTAATCTTTCAGCACCCATCTCTGCTCCTCAAATCTTTAGCTTTTCAAAACAGCTGCCTTTGTGTCAAAGGATTTTTCACATTTTTACAGAAGAGGTCCAACTTGTAATGGGCCTCAAATGCATGTCGCAAATTAGCATATCAAGCGGGGCTAAAAACAAAAAATATAGCAGTTGTTAGATAACAACTACATTAGAAACCAGCTTTCTTCTTTGTCAGCCATTGTCAGATCACACTGAATTGGTACCTAAAGACTCACAAACACAAACCGTTTGTTTGACACAACGATTACCATAAAAACCTCAACTATAAACTCTAAGATATTTTTGATTCCATACTTATGGTATCAAGTAAAATCATATCTCTATATACACACATTTGCTCAAATAGTTTTTAACCTCAAAGTTATGATGTGCATCTCTTCTGCCCTTTGTAAAGATAAATAAAGTGTTCATAAGAATGGCAATGAGTAGCCTGGGGATTCCTCCGCTTGCTGAGGATTTATAGTGATTGTGGGCATCAGTTCCACATCGAGGGGGTTCCGGACAGGTATGAGAATTACTTACTGGAGAATGAATAGCGGAGTTCAGTGAGTAGGCAAGTCATCTTGTAGAGTGCTAGAGTTCCTGAAGGTCTCCGATTTACCACAAAGAGCCGTCAGAAATATGAATCTAAAGGTTACGTCTGGTTTCATCCAGCCTTTCAGAAGTTGGATTTTATAAATCTACAAACATATAGCACATATAGCAGCACTGATGATGACATGTCTGATTCTGATAGTATTGATATGATATGACATCTGGATTCATTTCTGACATGCTGTGATTGTAGGCTTGTAGCCAGCATGTAGCACCGGTGACGGACCGCACTCGAAAAGAATCTCCATGACACCCAAGGTTTACTGCATGTATCACATCATGCCTTCAGATGTTTATGTCACACACACATCAGCTCATATTCAACTACTACACAAAATGTGATCAAATTCTGACTATACTGCCTACAGTTATATCGGGGGCTCAGATTCTGGCAAATAGCAAACACCGCTACACTTTCCTTGAACACACTCCTTGAGGGAGCTTTTAGCATCCATCTATATCCTTTTTTTATTGGGGGGGGGGGGGGGGGGGGTGAAGCTTATCCCAACTGTCATGGGCATCACAGCAAAGCGGAATTTTTTTGTATTCATTTTTTTTAAATTCATGCTGACTTTTCTGGGAACTTGTTCAGTTTTACAATCAACTTTGGTAACTTTTTATTTCTTTTACTGCTAAATCTGACATAAGAAAAACACATTTTATATGTATTTTGTATACAATTTCAAATGAAATCAACAGCGCACAATAACCACTGTATTTACCACCAGAGTCATTTTTAACAAAGGACTTAAAGAGCAGTATGAATCACCAACAAAACTTCCTGTTCCTCACAGGTGGATATTTTCACTGCTTTCATTGCAACCCACTATACTCAGTGGGGGCCTCTCTTATTTTTTGTCATTGTACCAGTGACCTTTACATCCGCTCCTCTCTTTGAGTGTTATTGATTTGCTCAAAAAAGGAACATTAAAATACTTATTTTACTCAGTTCCTTTATTCAGCACCGTGTATTTCAGGGACCTGCAGGGTCTTAATGGGAGTTGGTCTTAATGGGACTTGGTCTTAATGGGAGTTGGTCTTGCTTTGACTGACTCATGCACTGAGGGTTTTGTACGATGACAAAAACAGGATCTCAAAGAAAGAGACAGAACATAATATTCAAATTGTTAACTTTTTCGAAATGAATCTTTTCAAGTGTGTATTTCTTTTTCTTTATTGTGATTTCTAAGTGTTCCTGTTTAACTTCCACAGGGGCTCAAGCCGATGGATCACAACGGGCTGTCAGATCCTTATGTCAAGCTGCACTTACTGCCCGGAGCCAGCAAGGTACGTCCTGGTGAAAAGAGTCTTCCTTCCAGCAGCTGCACTGGTAACGTGAGGGGTTTCAGATAGTATTTTACCTCACTAATGTAGTTGCTGAGCTCGAAGGATTAGTGTGGCAGCTTTTTCTGTGTTTACTTCAAATGTTTCATTTTTGTTCATTTGAAAAAAGCTTGAGCACAGAAAACACAGCAGAAAAGACACCAGTGTTTCTGGTTTATGTTCCTGCCTATTATCCTCTTCCATGATAGAGCTTTTGTGTGTATATATATATGTGTATGTGTGTGTGAATTGGAGTGGATGCTACTGGAACACATGTACAGGGAACAGCAAACTTTTTTTTTCATATTTTGTTAATGGACCAAAAAAAAGACTTCAGACAGAAAAAATACAAATTTATCTCATTTCTTTTCTTTGATCAGGCTTTCAAGGGTTAATTCCATGTATCTTACTTAAAAAGCAAAAATCCACGCCATATGAAAGCTTGGGTCTCAGGATTAAGCATGAAATCATGGGCTATGCGTTCAAAAAGTGAGAAAGCCCAAACTCTGAGCACTACAATGACATGGATGATTAAAGATTGTGATTCAAGTAAAGCCTGTCAGAACACACGTCATCTATGATCTGAATTATCCAACAGCCACAGCGACATATCACTCATCTGCAAAAACACCCTTTCTGAAACCTATGACTGCCTGGCTTAAGGATTTTGTGCCCTAAATTTAACTGATAAAAATATATTTTGCCCAGACACATTTGGTGAAAAATACTGAACAACTCCTCTGAAAATTTGATTTAAAAGTTGTTGTTTATCAAATTAGTAACACAAACTTATTCACTAGAAGTATCTTTTATGACCTTCCAAACCCTGAACAGACATTTTTTTGCTGTAATACTGTAATACTGAACGTGTGTGAGTAAAATGTTAGTCTTTTAAAATAGCGACCTTTCCAGCCTCACTGATATAAATAGAGATCACATTTGTTCTGTTACCAGTTGTTCGGAAAGAGTCAGAATGTGTGTTTTCTATTGACCTTGGGTTGTCGGAGTTTCAGTTCTGCTTCATGTTCCTGTACATGTAGTTGGTGTATCTTTTGTAACAGACGCAGCACTTACATCTTCATAAGGCATTTTTAAGGTGATTTATATGTAGCGTTCACATGTGTAAAACATAAAACCGTTATCTTTTTTCATGATCAAGAAGTCTAACAACTGTGTGGCTCCTTCCATGTGACAGGCGGTGCATTATCTTATTCCATTTTTTCTGATTGCTTTTACTCAGGGGTTTTCCTTTTTTTTTTTAAACCAAAGTTGTCAAAGCTAATGCAAACTAGCTATTTGCTTTTATCTTGGCGACATGAATTTAAATGAAGTGTCATGGATTATTTGACGGTAAGGCATGTTACTTCTTGGATTTGTCTGTTGTCACAGTATGAGACCCAACAGGAGCATCTGCATACATTTTCCAGCTCAACAGAGCACTGACACCTTTCCGTTGCTCTCTATCAGCTCGGACTCAGAATGATCATTAGACTTGGTTTAAAAGTCTCATTAAGGCCCACTAAAGAGGTCATGAATTCTGCTTGTGCTTCAATGAGACCTGAAGTGTGACGCTCCTCTGCAGAGCCAGATCACAGCATCATCACTTTTGGAATCACTGTTGAACATGTTGCGAATGCTGTAAGTGTTCCAGATTAAACCTGCCGACCACTGACGGGAACTGAGAGGTTTTAAAAGATGATGGGTTTACAGGACCACACTGTGATGATGAAACCGCTACAAACACTGTAAAAAAAAAAAGAAGTATTTGTTCAAAACATTTCTGTGATAATTGAATTACTTAAATATACAAAATAATACAAAATACAAATAATTCAGTTATTTGATACTGGTACAAACTGGCAAAATTTTAATTTCCTGAGTACAATGAAATTGTACATCAAGTCTTCCATTTCATATTATGTAAAACCCCAGTTTAAACTGTTGGGATATCAACATAAAGATAAAGCAATACTGACTCATGAGAAATGTTTTATCATGAATTACACAATATGTTTAGAAAAAATGACAAAGAACCATGTTTACCACTTACTTGTCTGTAAAGATCTGAAGCTGCTGGAGAGAAAAAGGTAGCAAGTCTTTCTGATGTATCGGTCTAGCTGCTAGCTGGTTCTGAGTCATATGGGTGGTATTTTGCACTAGACTCCAATTTATTTATTTTTTAATTGAATTCAATTTTTGGTATTTAATTCTACATATTTAACCCTAAGAAAATGAGCTATGGAGACCAAATGTTTTTTCCACATATTTTTTTTCTTTCTTTGTGCTTTTAAAGTGTAAAGTTTGCTATTTTATGGATTCAAATGTAGTTGACCGACTACCATCAGTCTTTTTCAAAAACTGGTGTTTTTGACAGTTTTGTTTCAACTTTATGATTCCGTAAGACATTTTGTGACATGGGGTCTCATTTATAAAAGAAGGGTTTGGATGATATAAAAGTTTACATGATATAAACCAACTAAATCTGAATGATAGCAGGGATTTCGTTCTCTATGAGGTAACACTAAAACATATACACATAAAAAACAAAAAAGTATTTGCATTTCTTTAATTTCTTTGGAGCAATGTGTTTTTTCGCCGATAACTGGGGTGACACCTTATGGTAAAAGAGTGAAATTCAAGAAAAATAAATACCGTAACTCATGCTTAATTCAGTAATCGCATAGCTACACTTCATTTTAGAGCGAGTTCAGGTGAGCGCACTTTCTCTAGTACATCCTATGATGAAGTATAATCAGTGAAAATGTTCTCTACCAAATGGTTGAGCAGGATGTTAAAGATCAACTGAAAAGGGTATTAAAAATAAAGAAAAACTGTGAGAAATGGCTTAACACAAAAATCCTCTGCTGAATTTGAACTGGACCTTTTTTTCTAATTGAGTCCACAATTTCCTTTAGTATTCAGTACATTTATCCAAGTGCATTCCCTGAAATTATTAAAAACCTGTACACTTTAAATCCATAATAGTGCAGTGTGCAAGATGTTAAATTTTAAGAAAATGAAAAATGGAGAATCCTGATTGCATTTTTATGCACAATGTGTTCATCAGCATGAAGAAATGTTTAGAATGCAAAGTGTTTGTGAGTGTGTGTGTGTGTGTGTGTGTGTGTGTGTGTGTGTGTGTGTGTGTGCGCGCGTGTGTGTGTGTGTGCATGGCTGTGCTCAGTGCAGTTGGAAACAGCCACTGATTGAGGCAGAAACAATCAGTGAGAGGCTTGTTAGGTGGAACTCTGCCATTAGAGCAACAAATAATCATATCAGCTAATTGATTAAATTCAACAAAATATCATGTCCTCACCTGTGACTCATACATAATGTATTCAGACTTGTCTTTCCATGTGTATATTCATACTTGAGATTTCCTGACATGATATTTAATTAATTTAATTCTCAAGTGCATCAATGTAAATGTCATCATATATTAAAATTGTACTTACACATGGGGATATTTTTCTGTGCTGATCAAACTAGTCAACACATGCAGTATCCTCATGTCCATGTCTGTGTGTGGGGCTTAATAATGACACAAGAGTGTTTTGATAGCGAGTCGTGTCCGAACTGTGTGTTGATCACACTGATGAAGTTTTAAACATAAAAACATGAATGCGGCACTTCAGTTTATCACTTCAAAACATTTCAACTCCTCTGTTTAGTGGGTGGGAACACAACACACTAAATCAGACGACTACATTTCTGTTCTCGTTAGGAGTGACAAATAGACAGGAATGTGGCAGTCCTCTGATGTGAGTATCACGTTTTCTGCTCCGACTGAGGTGGAATTTGGTCCATATGTATAATGACCACTTTTATTACCAGCACACACATAAAAAATCATCTAATTTAAACATGTTCCTGGCCTCTGCCTCATAAAGAATGTGTGATACTTACATACTTACAAGAATATGTTTCCTAAATAATCTGCCATGCAACACTAGCAACTCCCACAATGCATAGAAGCAAGAGGGTGGATGGTTTAACTGTAAGTCACACCTTTAAATGTGTTAGCAGACATATTTATTTTCATGCTAAGATAAACTAACAACTTCCTGTTGCCAATTTGACAACAAAACATAACAGTATCACTCTTAAAATACTCTGAGATGACTCATATTAAAACTAGAGTTTGATGGAACTCATGAACCTCCTGCAATGCTTTGATTATTTCATGGATTTGCTTTGCGTATCATCTTGCTGGCAGTAGTCAGTATGCAGCAGTGAGCAGCAGTGATCTTGTGTTTGCATACACATCACCAGACGTGGATGCAGTCTGACATCCTCTCACCAGGGCGGAGAGCTTTCTGCATTTTTATGGATGCGTAGAGAAAACCGGCACAAGTTCAGTGAAACTGACTCCAGACGGATGTGCTCTCTGTAGCTTGAGGAAAAGCCAGAAGGCATTCAGTCATGAATGATGTTCATTTGTACTAAATAGCTAATCGCTTTGTCCCCCTTTTCAGGCCAACAAACTTAGAACCAAGACCCTGCACAACACACTCAATCCGGTCTGGAGTGAGACGCTAACCTACTTCGGCATCACAGACGAGGATATGGTCCGCAAAACCCTCAGGTACGGGCAGAGATAGGATTGATGTGTGCTCGGAATGAAGTGTGAAGGTAAGGAAAAAAGGGAGGGGGGGATGGTGGGAAATAAAGAGAAAAGGAAAACAGGGAGGAAAATTGGAAAATTATGAAGGTACATTATGGAACAGTCCCACAGTTCCAGTTTCCATACAGTGAACAGTTCTGGAAATGAAGGAAACTAGAGTTTGTATCTGGAAACGAGAGATTCAAGAGAAGTTTGAACGGAATAAAGGAAGAGAGAGAGAGAGAAAACTGAGGTACATGAAAATGAATGATAATACATTCTTAGGATAGGAGAGAAAATTAGAGTAAATCGTGATAGGAGAGCAAATGTGATTATGAGGGTATTGAAAACAAAGGCCCAGAAAAGAAAAAAAAAGATGAGCTAAGGATAATGGGGTAGGTAAACAGGAAAGTGGAGGGATTTGTAATAGGAAATTTAAAAAAAGTAGGAACATGAGAGAGAAATAAATGGAAAAAAGTAGAAATGGATAAGATCAACTAAAAAACAAAGACAGCAGGAAAACCAGAGAAACAAACCATTTGAGGAAATGGATAATTGATTTAAATAAACCCAAAAAAAGCAAAGAAAGGGAAATGTCTGTATTTATTCCAGAGTTTTGGCCTTCACTGTGATGAATGTGTTTAAAAGGTTTCACAAAATAATAAGTATTGATGTTTGACAAGTAGACTTCCTGTATGGTTAACACCTGGAAACAGTTTCAAACCTGGACCCAGGACTGTCAAAGCCCTAATATTCTTATGCAATGCATTCTTTTCTCCTTTGTTCTTACTATAGTATTAACAGAGGGCAATCAAGTGGTAGAGGCATGTTATGCAACCACACGCGTAAGCACTATGTCAGGTGGACGTTATGCAGAGGAGGATTTTAGTAGTTTGCTTTTGTCTTCTGAGTCACGTCATGCATTCCAGTAACTTCTGCTAAAGTACGCTTTGTGTTTGCTGCTTAGTTCATTCTTTCAGGCATTTACAAGCTTATAGGTGGCAGAAGGCTCATTACAGTACCTGAAAATACAAGTACAGGTTTGCAGTAAAAAAAAGGGACAAATAACAAGATGCAATAGTGACTAGGTTTGATCATGGGATGTGCTGTCAGTCTCCTGCCCAGAGCGACAGTCTGTTCCTCAGTATTTGCTTTGGCTCAGATCAGAAATATCTCAACAACCATTGTCTAACAGGTTTATTTCCAACAAAGACACACAGTCTTTGTTAATATCTACCGTCTTGTCTGGTTCCAGACAAGTTGCAACTCACAGCCAATGCAGAACCTTATGGATTAACCTTATCACAGTCCCCCAACAAAACTAAAACAATGTTTTTAGGAAGGATGGATGCACAATTTAGGTTATTAATGATAACCTGATGCAACCATTAATAAGATCAGGAAGACACTGGTAGTGTAGCCGTGATAAATGAGGCCAAAAATAACAATTCAATGGTAAAAATGAGTCATTTTGTCCTGTATTTACTTCAGTCATATGTCTTGCTCAGTGTCCACGCAATCATCTTTCTGTTTCAGTTCCAATAAAGTTACCAAAGAGATGGAATGATGTACTGACATCAACTGGTAATCTCCTTGCAAAAGTTGATGGCATGACCCAGAAGTCACCTGGAAGCAAAAACATAGTTTGAATAGGTTCAGGAATATAGATTTATCATATAACAGCAGCAGGCAACTGGTCAAGACTGTCCCTGCTTTTAGCAGCTGAGGAAGGCCCAGCCCGCCTGGAACTCTGAGTGGGATAGAGTGGGTACGGAACGTTGATGTGATGATAAAGGCAGAGCTGGCAGTGGGCTGACCTGGATAAACCGGGCTCAGGGTCCATTCTTGCCAAACGGCATACAACAGCAGCAGGAAAGTGCTCACGTTAAACCTGTCCATTTATTTTTTTCTGTGTGTACTTTGTTTATACTGTTTCATTTTTATGTTGGATTTAAAACCTTAAACCCTGCAGATGGCGTAGTCCCCACAGAATATGCAATGCTTTTTCCCTAAGGCATAAAAGAATTCTATACAGATTTAGCTGTTCAGAAAAGAAACGTGTCGTTAAGTGTAAGACTTGGTTGCTGGGAGAGCTTCAGTACACTTGGCATCGATGCTACATGTTCTGGACTCAACCAAAAAGAATGCTGTTCCTTCCATTCCAGAAAAGCCTGCCTCAACAGGTGCTCCAGGGATTTTTGATGGGAGCACCATCTCTTTTCCAGAACTAAAATCCAATGTGGCTGCTCACTTAGTTTTCCCCCAAAAGCATAAACCTCTTCGGCTTTGTAATCACATTGCAAGTACTTCATACGTTAATGATGACAATGGGAGGGAGCAAGAAGGAATTGAACCTTTAAAAAATATGCTCCAAGAAAGACCTTACACATCCAAACAGCACAACTCATCCTGAATCATGACTCCAACCCCACCTGTCCCCATGACAAAGAAGCCTCTATTTATGCTTTTATGGTCATTGTTATAGGTCTGTTCTTAGCACTTGCCATACCTTTGTGAGTGCTATTATATCACTTTGTGGGATGCATACAGGCTACTTGTCCCTCCCTGTATGGTTGCTTTTTATGTAGAGAAAAGCACTCGAAACAAAGCATATTCCTCTACATGAGTGTGACTCATGTCATGTCAGGCCAAAGAGTGCTTACACAGGGAATGCGCTATATATCTATTAAAAACATACTGAAAGTCTGCTGGGAGCACCGTTCATTGACTTTCATTACATGTAAGGAAGAGATGGAGCGGAATATAGATCTCCGGTTTGGAATGTGAAATAACCTCCTTTTGCTGGTGCAGACTAAAGCCAAATGGTCATGCTGTCTTGAGAAAAAGAAAGAGAAGAAACTAATAAATACAGATCTGCCCCCCCAAAAAAAAAAAAATCAACATCATAGGTATATTCTCAGGATGACTATGTGATCCTTTTCAGGGACATAATCACCGCTTTCGGTCCAGACTGTCTGTTTTTAATCAGCAGCTCCTCCTAATGCCTCCGAACACATTACTATCACTTGCTGTCATATTGATCGGGCCTGACAAGGATCTTATGAACTTCTCCACTCGAGAACAACTATGTCTGAACCTTATTGCTGTGAGGCTCCAAACGCTCAGAGGAAGAAAGGCTGTAAAGTGAAGCTTTTTGGGAGGGCTTAATCCTTCTGATGGAGGATGATGGTGTTCAGGTAGAAAGTTATGATTCTATGGTTCTTAAACCTCACATTAAAACTCAACATTTGCCTGAGCCTAACTTTATCGATTCTCCTTGATTTTCTCTGTCCCTCTCCTCCCAGGATTTCAGTGTGTGATGAGGACAAATTCCGCCACAATGAGTTTATTGGGGAAACCCGAATTCCCCTGAAAAAGCTGAAGCCCAACCAAACCAAAAACTTCAACAACTGCCTGGAGAAACAGCTACCTGTAAGTCCAATATGCAACACCTTCTGTCGGTGTCAAGGTTCCCAGAAGCATATTTGTATTTTGCCAACACGCTATATGTATGCAACATACACACTGTACTAACTCACCCATCTGTCCAGTGATATGAGTGATTTATGCTCTAAATATGGATGATCCAGAAAAACACTGCATCAGATTCCTTAAACTGTTAAGCGCGTGGGCCATTTCAAAAGGATATTCATTCGCAGTTCAATGACTCCCCACTCTACTCCTCTCTCATGCTCTCATGATAAATAATCCACTCCCACACCCCTCTTATGGGCTCAGAATCCATTGCTCTAATCTGTCATCTGCTTTAAATTGAATCATTGCAGAAAGTCTACTCTTCGTTTTCTTGGCAACTGCCAATGTTTATTTGTTGAGCACCCAAGCCTCGCCTTTCATTTCACCATAAGAAAAGCAATATTACACAAAGTTAGCAGAATTTGAGTTTACTGAGTTTATTTGGCAGTATATATACATAATTTTGCTCTTCTGAAAAGTGTTATATACTAAATAAAGTAGAAAAATTAGGTATTCCTGTGTTTGATCTCTATAAAAAATAAGTAAGCGTGATGTTGCTGCTTTATAATAAATATATATTAATAAATATTATGCTCTGCAAAACGAAGTGAACAATGGTGGGTCCAACAGCTCCAAATTTGCTCTTCACGCTGTAGCTTTTTTAAATGATTAAAGGTATACAGTGGGGGAAATAAGTATCTGACCCCTTGCTGATTTTGCAGGTTTGCCCACTTACAAAGAATGCAACGATATATAACTTTAATCATATGTAGATTCTAACAGTGAAAGACAGAATCCCTAAGAAAATTCCAGAAAATCACATCATATGAATTCATAAAAATTGATAACCATCTGATGAGGAAAAACAAGCATTCTTTGTAAGTGGCCAAACCTGCTAAATCAGCAAGGGGTCAAATACTTATTTCCCCCACTCCAAGTGCTGTTCATGGAATTTTGTCTAAACACCTTTTCTTTAAAAGCCTGTCTGCCTTCGACACTCTAAACCACTAGCACTGCTTCTGTGTTGAATATCATTTCCAGTGTCACAGAGTTATGTTTAAGGGCAGTTCACATGATATGTCAGGGACACCAACAAGTAAACAGATGTATAAGCTGTCTGTGTCTTTCTTACGTAAATCGTGTGTTTTTGATTGGAGCCCTTTTTGTGATTTGGAGTTTTCTTCACTGATTGTTATCTCGAGGCACTGATTCCATAATCATTCTTACCTTTACTACCCCTGGTGGCTTCCTTGAGTTTCAAAATATTCCAGCCAAAAATCTGAGCCCTAGGTTTTTTACTTGATTCAACAGAATTGCAGAATTGTTTTGATCCTCTCATATGCAGGAAAACTGAGAAATCCATCTATTTTCTATACCCAACAATTCCTAGTAGGTTTGGGAGGGGTGAAGCTTACCCCCCTTTCATTGGATAAGAGATGGTGTACGCCCTGATCAGGTCACCAATCCATCGCATGGCTGCATAGAGATGAACCACATTCTCGCCTACAGGCAATTTAAAACACCAATTAACTTAACATGCATGTTTTTGGAATCTGGGATGAATCCAGAGTAATTGGATAGAAAATGTATAATATTTCATCAAGTACTGCATCAGCCTTCATTCAGAAAAACGTAGAGATAGCTTTATTGGGCATGCTGTTACGTTTTGCCTTGACTTAGGTTAATTGACATCCTCTGGCAGATGATTACTGAGTTTTACCCCCACTTTATGGTTGAAGTCACAGGACTTTCCTACCATAAACTGCAGAGAGTTTGTTTATTTAAAGGGATTTTATATTTGGATACCTTAATGGAAAGTGGAAGAGGGGACTCATTAAAGGAGATGGAAGAGAGTACAGACCTTGAAGGGGTCATTTAGTTAGATGATGTTAGATGTTAATCAAAAGTTAATTTGGTGAGGATTAGTTTAGTTTTTTTATTTATTTATTTTTTTTTAAAGGTGTGTTGAAAATGTGTTGTAAGCAGAATATTTTTCTTCTTTTTATGTTCCATAAGAAAGCACAGTCAATTAGAAACAAAATTAATAATGCTGACCTGCAACAAGCACTTTAGCCTTATGGATGCAAAATATCAATTGTATTGTATGAGAGTCATTTCACTTAAAGGGTGCTTTCAACGTCTGCTAAATTTACCAAATCAGTGTGTTTTTATCTGATCTTTTGAAAAAATCTAAAGTAAATGTTGCATGAATACGTGATGTTCTCTTTGGACTGTGACAACTGACCTCAGAGTGGGTCAGTATTCCAGGGTCACACAACAGTGTAATGCAGTTAATCATAAATGTCAGAGCTTTAAGAAACTTCTGTATGGAAACATATTAATAGAAAGTTCTTTTGAGAAAGGGCTTACTCAGTGAGATTTTAGATGTATTGCTTGGTAACTCCGTTTGCTAAAAAACCTTGGAAAAAAGTATAGAATATAATGATAATTGGCATTTTTACAAATAAGAACAGAAGAATAAAAGAAATAGCACATAACATACTGACGGAAGTGACAACCTAAATGTTCCCTTTCCAACTTTAATTTCCACATAGCTCTTGATAAGCTTGAAGTTGTTAAGCCGCTGTGCATTTGTGCCGCTGATAGGAGCTGCTTTATCCCCGACAATGTGCGGTTCAAATGAGGTGCTGAGGAATATGAAAACCCATTGCATTTCCTCACAATCAGCAACAGGGCCGGTGTGACTTGTAAATGGCATGTCTAAGTCACCATTTGATAGAAAGCAGAATAAATACAAAGCTTGGACAACTCGTTATTGGTGGCATGACTGTAATTTTCATTTGCTGGAGTATGCATTTTTCTTCCTAGAGAGCTTAGAGTGGACCAAGGAGGATGTAATCAGTTTGAAGACAGCATTACATTGATGAATGTCAAGCACATGCTAGGATCTATACAAACATAAGAAACCTCCACAGTCTATATTTATGTTATTTGTACCTATTTGCCCTCATCACCACCATTTTGCTAGAAGCTCTCGCCCAAGTCATGTTTGTCCTCTACCGTATGTAGGGTCAGTACCATACAGGACACCGTTTTTAGCTCCATTGTGGAAAACTTGGATTGTTTTGCAGACTTGTTGGTTGACACAAGTTCTTTCAAAATGCAACTGCAAAGTGTTAAAATAAAGACCTCAAAGAAAAATAAATGTCTTCATTTTACATTATTCAAGTCTTGTAATAAAAGCGTCTCAATAGCTTTACCCAGACAATGCTACAGTCTGCCTGATGCACTGTTGGCTATTTGGACAAATGTCATTTCTCAGCGGCCCAGATATTAAAAGGATGACAGAATGAAGTCCACAGAAACTTTAAATGACTCTCACAGAGTTATTTTGGGTCTCCCAAAACAATTTAAACAAAGAAGAAATCAGGACATAATCTGATATTAAACCAAAAAAATGGTGGCATAGGTTTTAGTGAAAAGCTTAAAATCCAGGTTTTAGATGCCATAAATGTAAAAAATCAATGTTAGTTTCAGAGCAAAAATTGCATATCTGCTTAATTTCTCGCATTTCTTTTGTTGGAAGTCAAAGAACAGACACACATTCCTGTGTTGATTCACAGATGTCTTCTTGGGCTGGCGTTGTACTACAGAAAGTAAACGGCTGTTGTAGTGGGCATGTACTTTATGCCTCGCTGACAGATCTTCAACAGGTAGCTGTGCCAGGTGCAGACAGAGAAAAAGAGAGAGAGCTAATCTGAAATCAAACTAAAAGCCAATTATAACAAAAGCCCTGTATGCTCTAATTGGTCTATTGATTATTATTTCAGCTTTGCCAGCAGTCATTATGCAGACGGTTTCATGGTGATCTTATCAAAGAAAATGAAAAAGTCTGTCTGTTGAATCCAATTTTTTTAGTGTAAAAAAACCCAAATTCCATATAGACATTATAGCTTTTTGGGTTGTGTATGTTCCCAGAAACAAGATCAGCCAACCTTAAAAATCAGAATGTCTAAGTGGAAAGCTTACGGTTTGCATAATTACCTCCTTTTTAGAGTATTTGTAATGAATTCTTACTATTATTCAAAACTTTTCTCCCCTCAGGTCAACAAAACAGAAGACAAGTCTCTGGAGGAACGTGGCCGCATCATGATTTCCCTCAAATACAACACGCAGAAGTCGTGCCTGGTGGTGGGCATCATCCGCTGTGCTCACCTCGCCGCCATGGACGCCAACGGCTTCTCTGACCCATACGTCAAAACGTAAGAGTGTGAACACCAACACGCCCGTGAAAACAAACACATCAGGAGTATGCTGCACAGTGAAGAGCTAGCTTAGGTGGCATTTGTTCCTCTACTAAAAAGCACCAATGAAACTGTTCTTAAAAATAAAAATGAAGGATTGGAACTTTGATTGTTGCTATGATCTTGTTTTTCTGTGTTGTGGACAGTGAGAGCATATTTAGGGTGCCTTGACCTGTTTGAGTCCAGTTTAAGGTTTTGATTCTACTTTAAAGAATTTCACACACAGGAGAAATTTTGAGGAGCCAGAATGTTCAATATGCTAGTAACTCTAAACTGTTTGCATATTTAACAGTTTGGGTAAGATTAAGACAAATATTCATTTTAAAGTATCATGCAAATGAATTCATTCCAGTCTTTGCCAACTGACACTGACCCAAGACTCATCTCATTAGCCTGGGATCAGCGACCGTTGTGTGTGGAGTGTAGATTCATTCTCCTGCCTTATAACACTCTGTCTGATCCTTCCATCCGTTTGCTATGCTGCTCATTCCTGTGCTTATTCCAGGATAACCACGTCACTGCTTAATGCACCCATGCTTTACAAATCTACATCCTCAAAAGTGTATTTAGGTGGAAAAAGATGTTCTCACCTTTTCTCAATCACTTACATTGCTGCAACCTTTTTTCCACATTTCACAGATAGCTTAAATCCCCATGGCAGATTTCAGGCAATTTCAAGTCTGCAATTAACCTAATATGCATGTTTTGGATAGTAAGAGGAACAGGAGGAAGCCACACAGGGAAAACATTCAAACTCCACACAGAAAGGCCTCCAGTCAGCCAGGGATTCAAACCCTCAAGCTGTGAGGCAACGGCACCACCCCCAACGTCACCACGCAGCCCTACTGTGCTCATTTACACACACAGTAACAATATATCTATGATTCTGGGAAAAACCCTTCAGCTGTGGTCACTTTCAATGCAAATATCAACATGTCCAATTTCTCATCTATTCAACATCCATGTTTCATAAAACTGCTTCAGAATCAGGACGACACAATCAGCTTGTCTGATATTGTATCAACTAACAATCAGAACCTGGTCTGTCCAGGATGCCAGCAATGCCCATCAGTGGGCAACAAAGTATCTCCCCTCCATACCTTTGATTTGAATTAGTTTAATAAAGGTACACGTTTACCTCCTCTTCCTCAGACCACCATGAGCATACAAAAGCTTAAAGTCGTTTCAGACCCACTTGCCCATGGGATGAAGAAGACGTTTGTTTTTGTTGGCTATCTGTTATGTCAGTTTTCCTGAAGTGGACAAATATATACGGTTGAATCTGTGATTTAGACCATTAAATCTCTCTACAACCCACTTACGGGTCTCTAAAAATATTAATTAATCCCACAGATTATAATGACACTCTCAAAACAAATGCTTGGGGGAGTAAACCAAAGATGATGATAATTAGAAAAAGGTTTGTTGTAAAAAAGGATTTATAAAACAACAGGAGAAGATATTGTCAAGTACAAGTTTTCAGATAAAGATCTTTTTTTTTGTCCTGAGTAGCGTGCTGTGCTGAACACGTTTGCTTTACCAAGGGAGGCTTTGTTGGTGAGAAGCCCCCCTTGGTCACCCAAAACTGCTTTATTTATTCATTTTTGTTGCCAAACTTTTCAAGTGTCAAATAATGATAACCTGACAGAGGGGGAGGGAAGAAAGAAGAGCAGTGGAAAGGTCTTATATAAGATCTTTTAAAAAATATTGCTATTAATCAGCAACATTGCTACTTCTCAGACTTCATACTTCATAATATGGAAAAGACTTGAAAAACATGGAAATCAAATTAAGGCCAACTGAAATTTTAATTGAATTTAGACTTTATTTTTAACTTTAGGATTAAAACCAAATTTATGTGAACACTTTGTGGTACCCATTTCACTGAGGTGGAAAGACTGAGTTAGATTCAGTGAAAAAGTTTCAGCCACCAACATCACAAGCAGTTAAATCTCCTCCTGGATATCACTCTCATGACAGACTGACCTTTAGCTGTGCGATATCTTGCTTCAGTCCACAAAGCATCCTTAAAACAAAGTGCCATGTTTAAGCCTTCCAAACGTCAGATTGTACATTACATACAAATGGATTGAAAATAAAATCATATTTAACACGTGCAATTTGACTATTTCTTCTACAAACAGTGGGTACTATTTCCAGCACTAACAAGAGACAATGGAAGTGTCTTGATAGATTATCCGACTGATTTTGTAGCTGACAAGAAGTAGACTACCAGTGGTTATTAGCAGAATGGAATACAGTGTAAGAGGGCATCTGCAGGGCTGCAATTTAAGGGAGAATCCTACTTATCACTCCTGAACATTCCCCCAAGTCTTTCATCTGGCTGAGCAATGAAAGTGCAATTAATTTTTGACTGCTATGCACACCTTGAGAACAAAGGTGTTTTGAAAGAGAGGGGCTGGCAGCGATTTTTAAATAGTCTGCGGTTGGGAAAATCTCCATGAAGCTTCAAAGACATGGCACAGATTCTGATGAACCCGCTTACTGACCAGCATGAATGGCTGCACAGGAAATGTATCCATTGTGTGGAAAACAAGGCTGCATGACATGACCAGGAGCAGCCTGTGTGCAGCGTCCAGTCCCGGCCGTCCCTTCAGTTAGCTGCTGCTATGTTGAGTTCTTAGCTGTGAGCATGTGCTTAGAATCTGTGTGGCATTTCGAGACATGCCTTAATTGAAAGGTGGTCGTAAGACCCAAGTGACCCATGTGATCCCTGATGTCTCTTTATGGATTTAATCAATGGTATGTGTAAAGAGCATTTTAAGATGCGTGTGTTTTAACCTATAACAACCGAGACCCATTTTTCTCTAAAATTAACCTTTGACCAAATGGGCCCCACAGATCAAAGGAAAAAAAAGTGGAATTTTTTATTTTTCTAAAGTACCACCACCGAATGTCAAAGATCTGTAATGTTTTTACATGTTACTTTGGCAGTTATCAATGAACTGATTTCAGTTTAAATTCTTACACCTCCTTTACTGTGTTCTGATGGATTAAGTAAGCCTCTGTCTATAGCAAAGAATAAAACTAAATTGCAAAGTTCCATAAATGTACACAGTAAAAGTGTTCAGGTTAAATTCACTGCACTGCACAGCGTCATTATTTGCCTGCAAAGTTTCCCCCTTTGATCGTTTCGCCCCGGGGGTTGCTGGTCTCAGGACATGACAGTTAGGCTCAGGGCAGCTTCAGCCCCCCCCCCTCAGGCACAGGGGGTGTTCAGTAACCAACCGTCTCCCTTGAAGTAACTTTATCTCGGCAAATTTCAGCGCGTGTGGATCTGGTGAAGACAGGAGATGAAAAGAGCAACTGCAGCTACAATGAAATCTAAATCTCTAAATCAAATTGAACAATAATGCCAGAAACTGTTCACCTCCAAATGGACTGACTTTCCACTTTGCTCAGGGTTTGAGATAAGCTCAACCATTTTCTGCATAATTTATGGAGGTAGAATGGAGGTAAAGGTCTAGCCTTCTCCCAGACGTGCAGGCTGGATGTGCATTCATGAGCACACGTACCTGAATCACTGACGAATCACGGTCACACTGTGCTGCATGTTGGGAGAGTAAAAACAACATTTTCACAAATGTAGATTAACATTTACTCAGGGTATCAACAATTATTCAACTTTCAAAGCAGCCGAATGAATCGAATTGACTAACTGAATCAATACAGTTCAGCATAACCCCAAAAAGCTCAGATCTATCCAAAAACGAAACCTTACTATAAAAACAGTCAAAGCATTGCACAATTGTATGTATAATTAAAAACAAATGAAAACTAAAAGTACAAATACTCTTAAAGGACATTTTAATGCCAATCCTGTAATCTTAACAAAAGGACACCAAATGCTACTTTTGTTGAAATGGCCACATGAGATTAATTTGGAATAATAAAGACTGTGATGAGAGAAGATGACAACAGAAGGTCATTAGTGGGAATACAGGGGAAATGGGTGCTATTATTCACTAATGTGCCTCTGTGGTGGAACACAGCAGAGTATCACAGCCCCCTCTAGAGGACAGAACAATACTAATGTTTTTAAGCATACATTATTTTTTGGAGGTTTCAGATGGTTGATTATGATTTATTTGTCCATATTTCTTTTGTTTTACTATGCCCAACATTAAGTGTATCCAAACCGTTTCCCTCTCTCCTGCAGATACCTGAAGCCTGATGAGAACAAAAAGTCAAAGCACAAGACTGCTGTGAAGAAGAAGACACTTAATCCAGAGTTCAATGAGGTATAAACCAAAGCTTTTGCTGCAAAACAGCAGCTCCAGTCTCATTTTACCAGAGTTAAATGTTTGTTCTGAACAACCTGCCTCATTTTGTCCCATTGTTCACGTCTTTCTAATCCACATCTCACCACACAAAGTTGAGAAAAGGACTTGTTCCCGGCTGCTTCTGGGTTTTCATGAAAAGCTTTATCAACCCGTTATGCTTCTGGTTTACTCTTGCTCACACTGTTCTGAAATTGGGTTAAAATTAAAGGTAATATAAGTTTTAGTATAGGCACTCAAACAACAGCCCCTTGTCTGAGAGGTTAGAGATCCCGCCTGTGTAGATCAAAGACCCTGTCCTCCTTTTTTCCCCAAGGCAAGAAAAAAAAAGAAAGGCCATGAATATCTCATTTTAAATTGTGATAATAGTTGGTTGTCAAATTGTGATTTCAGTTTAAATCCTCTTTAGAGTAAGATTGTAACATCTCATCGCTAATATTTGTTGAATATTTATAAAGTACAATAATAATGCTTGCTGATTCCATTATTCCGTTCAATTAAGAGATTTGTGACATCCAATTAACATATTCGTTTAACAATATTAAGTCTGCTTTCTGTTTTTCTCATATCAGCGTACACAGTAACTCATTAGCAAAAACGGCAAACTTGAAATGAGTAGTTCCTCATCCATTATTCACATTTATATACTGTCACTGTCATCAAGTTGGAAAGGACCTATTAAAATAAGTTAAAGCATAGTTTAATGCATTCATAGTTCCAACGCTTTTTCCCCCCACTCTGGCTTTTTAAATAACTTATCATTTTAGCTGAAAATGGAGCCATCATGTAAGAAAAACACAAAACAAGTTCTCAAGATTCTTCAGGCTTCAAGAAACCATATAAATGGCAAATGGAATAACACGGGCAACCAAACTGTGGTGGTTATGTCATTTATTTGTGCTGCCAACTGGGAAATTACTGAACAGCTGAAAAAACATTAAAAAGTCCAGGGCTATCGTTTAAAAAGATTACATAGGGTCTATACTAAAAGTGTCCAAAAGCTGAAAATGGCGCCTGCACACCCGCACGCCGTTTTCCCCGTTAGAAATCACAGCTGCACCCCCCGTCTGCGTGAGAGTTCCACCTCACGTTCCCCCTCCACACGCGCACATTAAGCCCTGAATGGTCAATGAACGCACCTCCTGAATGTCAATGTGGATTTAAATGAGCTGATCACTGTCTTCCTGGTTACCAATAGCAACCACCGAGACACCGGCATGTGAGGGAGGCAGAGGCCACAGAAGTGCCGTGACAAATAGGAAGAAGCGTTGAGTGAAAATACATTTGCTCTGATTAGCTTTGCATAACGTGGCTGCAAACTGCCCCCCCCCCCCACAGGCAGGGAGCCCCGGGGCACCCACCGGTCACAGAGAGCGGTCAGGATGAGGCTCTGCCATGGCACCAATGTCCCAGAATCAGGTTCCTGAAAGGGGCTTCAGGCAGAAAATTCATTCATTGGTGCTGTAAGTCATCATCACGGGACGGGGAATCTCGGTGATCCCTAAAAACGCATTCCCTCCTAATTATCCCATTTGCAAGGTCTGATGCTCAGACTCTGTCACAATTTAAGGGCTGGTCTGTGGTCCACATCGCCCGGCCGGTCAGAGGGGCAGGAAAGCCCTTTGGTGGCATGTGGACTTTTAACAAGTTGTCTTATTGGCTTTTTTTTGTGTGAAAGATCCTTTTGTACACGGACGGCTCACCAGCGTGAGCATTAACAACTGCTGTTTTCATGCCCAGGATAAAGGCCACGATTAAAGCTCAATAGAGAGTTAAATGAAACACCAGAGGATCATGAGGCCGCGTGCTTCAGTTCCCACCTCAACACCCGCTCACCTCAAATGAGTCAGTCTTCCCCTCAAGTTTGTCTGTACAGATCAAACTTTCTGTGGAAAGTGGAGTGACTTTGATAAATGAGAGCCTGGTTTGTGTGGGGGGGGGAATTACCATGTTGAACATCTGAGTACAAGCCAGAGATTCCCTACTGGAGACATTAGGCCAGTTTCATGTGATTCTATCTTTTCAGTGACAGAATCGTTTTTTTTAATAGAAGGATAAATGTCCTATGCAGTCCTTTAAAAATCACATACACCAAGAAAAAATACATACTTTCAATAGTTTTTTTGGATGAAAAGGCAAGAAATAAACTGGAAAGCCACTTGTCAGAGCCATGTGCATCAGGGGACGGAGGACAGGTTCCTCAGTGGTCAGTGGACACGTCTCATCCCAGACTGGCAGGGTCCCAAACCAGTTAGTCCTAAACCAGTTAGACAGTCAGGCTGGAAACCAGACCCAGAGGCCAGGCTGGAGTCCAGGGGCAGAAACAAGGTCGTTGTCCAGTCTCAGAGATCCAACCTGGGCCAGGCCAAACAGGGAAATCTGAGGAACATGGACGTGGTCAGGCAAAAGGAGGAATGCTGGATGTTCACTCACACAAGGCTTTCAAAAGTCTGTCAGAGTCGGCTGCCAGGAGGTCAGGTGAGGGGCCGATCAGGCTCATGAGCTGGACTGCAGACCGGGAAGGCAGAGGAGGAAACCACAGTCACTTACTGTGGTTTTGAGCAAATAGAAGACATCATAGAGGACCAGAATCACTAAGGATCATCCAACCTGCACGAAGCATCAGCTCTAGTCACAACCTCTGAGCAAAATAGTATTTACAAGTGTAGGGACTGCACAGCCCTGGATGGGAGGAAACATCCCATTGGATGCTAATGCTACACATGTGCTGGCTGTATGAAGAGGCAGCCGCATTTTAAACCACTTTTGTTTGATTTAGCTCGTCTCTGGGGAATGTTCTGCTATGTTCTGCTGTACAGTTGCTCAGACAAATTCATTATCAGACAGACACGTACAGTCATCAGCTTTTACTTTCATCTATGCTCCAAAAATGTTCACTTTCACTCCAAAGCACATCCTTTGTAACCAATATGCTCAAATGAAATGAGAACGGTATTATCTCTGAGGGGCTTTTTCAGAGGAGATCATTTTAAAGGCTGAGCAGAACAGCCTGCTTCAGAAACATCCACCTGTGTACAAAGCACAGACTGCCAGCCCAACGCTCGCAGGCCAGCAGCTTGACATTTCCTTTGACATTTTTAGCCCTCAAATTCTTCGATCACATTGTGGCCTTTCTGTCAGGGGTCATCCTCCACACGGAAGCATTGATTACGGTGGAGCAAAACCTTGCTGAACTCTGTTGCTTTACAATAACAACTTATTCCAACTCTTTTAGTACAGTGAAAAGATATGGGATATTATACATGAATATATACATTTATATCTATATGTGCATATTTAGAAATAGAATGCAATGATTTGAATAAAAATTTCAGACATATCTTGAGACATAAAATTAGCAATTGAGTATTTGTTTTAAAAGACTATTTTACATTTCTTTCAGGCTCCATTAATCAGTAAACTAATCAAAATATCTCTGTGTATGCGGAGAAATTCAATAGGTCACAGCTGAACTGACTTTTAAGTAAAAATGTCGGCATCACGATAAAGCCTTTTGAAAACATCATATTAATGCTGTATAAGAAACAAAGAACTAACTGCCAAACGTCTGAGTTTTCAATGTATAAATATGAAAAGATTAGAATTGTCCTGTAGAAAGACCTGGTTAACCAGAGCTGTTTTCTCCTGTTTTGCCTCCTCTAGGAATTCTGTTATGACATCAAATATGCAGACCTCACCAAAAAGACGCTGGAGGTGACTGTGTGGGACTATGACATTGGAAAATCGAATGATTTCATAGGTAAGCTCTCACAGACCACTCGCCCTTAATCAGAGATGATGTTATGCTCAAGGTGCTGGAAAAGCTGGACGTATTTACTTTACACTTACTAAAATGAGCACAGCAACAATCCCAAACGGCCCCAGTAACAGGGTCCAGGTCTGGGGGGGGGGACAGCCTGAAACCAAAGCTCTCTCTCTGTCAGGAGCTGCAAACAGCAAAGTCTGCCCACATCAACCTGATGGTCTGCTCAGATAAAAGATTTAAGATTTACGCTTTAACGTAGAACAAAACATATTTTAATGATTCAGACATCAGTGTGACAAGTTTTCAATTTTTGCTTTAAATACAGTCAAATGGGATCAAATTACCCCGCACATATAACACGGTTTAAAAGCCGGTCATTAAAGCCCTGCAGATACCCATATAGCAGTCAAGAGGAAAACCACCTTAGACTCAGTCAAGAAGGAGAACTAGTAACATCTTTTTGTGCATTTCCAAAACTAATTTAAGAAAACCCAGGGCACTTGACTATGGCTTATTTGTCCCTGTATTGATAAAACTACTAAATGCATGTACATCAGGCCATGTGTCCACACCTCTGGATGCTCACCTCCCACTGCAGTTTAACACCAAAACACGGACATGTAAAGGAAGTGCAGCACAGGAAAGCTTTCTTTCTACAGGGGACAGCACAGGACACTTTGTGGAACTTTACTGGTTTTGTTCAGGACTTCATGAGGCAGACGGAAAGCAGGCTCAATTTTTGTTGACTGACTAAGATATGATAATTACAGATAAAGAATTTCTTAGATAAGAAGCACAATGTTCCTGTCAGAAGAATTCTCAGTTGCAAGTAATTGTTTCAGTGTGTCCTGATATTCAAAATCACACCAACAAAACTGGGAATTGTGAATGAAAAACCAACAGAGAACATCTGTAATATCTAAAATCCCACTAGAGCTGAATCACTAAATAGAGACTGCCTTAGGCAACAATGCAGAGCAACAAATGGCATCATTATTCATTTACGGCATGTCTGTACTTGAATGAATATTTAATTTCACGTGCCCTTTTCAGGGACTATAAATCAGTCTGTTCAACTGTCTCATAAGTTGCTTGTGTGCTAAATATCAGTAGATCTGTCATTTGTCATTTAGGCAAACAGCGTGATTTTTTTAATCAAAGCAATTTTTCCTCCGGCAACAGGGAATTGTGTGTTCAAAAGCCAATGACAATCTATTAATTACTACACCTATACCCATAGCTGCTGATTTCATTGTTTGTAAATATGAATATTTGGGTGTATTGAACATTACGGCCTCTGCCATGGAGCTTTATGTACAAAGAAATCAACCCATGGATGAATTTAAATTGCAAATATGATTATGTCGCTGTCTTTCTTACTTAAAGTTTACATATCAGAATCAGAATCAGAAATACTTTAATAATCCCACAGGGAAATTATTTAAATTATATGCATTTTATAATAAGATTATTCATGGTTATTCCAGCCGTCTGTTCTAGCTCCACATACTTTTTCATCATGTAATGTATACTGTGTGTGTGCTTTCTTTTAGGTGGTGTATCTCTGGGTATTAATGCTAATGGGGAGAGGCTCAAACACTGGTTTGACTGCCTCAAAAACAAGGACAAAAAAATCGAGCGCTGGCACACGCTGACCAATGAGTTACCCGGCTCATTAAATGACTGAAGACCACGTCCCGCCGGCCCTCACCCCCCCGTCTGACCGGACCTCACAGGCCTCCTGGCTTTGGTTTGGAACGCCGGCCCCAGCCCCGTTCTCTCTGGATCCTCATGGTGGCCACAGCTATGCCTGACCCCTCTCTTTGGGAATATGTTTCCTGTCAACAGGGCTCAGCTAAAAATATCCCAATACAACGTTCCACATCTTCCACACACACAACAGGAGCTGCACAGCGGCTCAGTCTTTATTTTTCTAAGAGATTCTCATTCATCCAAATTGTAGGTTGGTTTTTTTAAGCTTTTCAGCTTTATCATACGATCGGTGAAAATAAAAGGCGCTAGTGCTATCTGTTTCATGAGATCTTTTACAGTAGCTGAATCCATTTCAGTCCTTAAATCTCTGAATCCCTGAAACAACGGGGAAAACCTCTTCCAGTGTCACAACATCAAGAGGTAAAATAGAGTAGACACAAACAAAAGATGTAGCAGATATTTCCTCATGTGCAGAGATTTGATGAAATAATACTCCTCTTCTGAAGACAGTCCTCCCGTTGACAGCTTGGTTAACAGTAACACTTAGTATTGTAAAGGAGCAGATGAATGAAACGGTGGTGCACTTTAAAATGATTGTAAAGCATCCACACAGAATCCACACAACTAGCCTGGAGCCAGCAGTTTGACCCAGGACTCTGTCCACTGGTCAGAGTCCTTTTACCTCTTGAGAACAATGTCATAAAAAAGATTGTGTTTTTATTTTAAATATGCTTTGTCACTGAATTGGCATGAAACATTTCAGATGAGAATTTGATTTATAAAGCTAAACATGATTTTTATTTGGTTGTGGGTCAGATTTCCCCATCTTTTTTAGCAGAACAATATCAGGCGGATATTTTGTGTGTAGGCTTCAGCTAAACAAAACTGGACCATTGAGCTGGAGCAAATGTGTGTGTTCCAATAGGTCACACTGAAGTTCCGGAGACCTCTAGCTGTTGCAGGAATCAGCTCTTATCATCTGGGTGAAAAACAAGGTCAAACTGTAATTGTGTTAAAGATAAATGGCCAACATTGTGAAGCCTGGAATGTGAGTAAGGATGTGATTGAATCACTGTGCCCAAGACTCCTTTTGTTTTGCGATGGTATCCATGGAACTCCAGTCCCATTGATTAACCCAGATTGCAATGCTTGAAACTTGTCAAGCTTTGACCTCAGTCAATTTGGTGTCTAATGCATGTTTAGGAAGGCTTTTAGTAACAATGTACATGTTGTATACAGTTCTCAGAGGCATTCAGGGCGTTCCATGTGTTTGTAGGACTCTCCTTTACTAATTTTGCAGCCATCAGGCTCCAAAAAGTAACAACACTCCAAGGACAAAAATGTAGCCACCAAATCGGAGTATTTTTTCCAACCCCTTCCCATCCAAACAGCAACAGAGAGCTTCAGTGCTGCTCTGTCTGTGATGCGCTGTGGCAGAAAACCCCGTAAAGCTCCGTGCACGTCAGGAACTGACAAACAAATTGTTGCAGGATAAAAGGCTTTGATGAACAGCCTGTCGGGGAGGAGAATATGGTAATCATAGCAACAGCAGAAAATGGCTGTGTGAGGGGACAAATGCCAGCAGACTGGCCCGAAGTTGGAGTTTAGGATTTAAGACATACTGGACAATGATGAGCCACTAGAAGTTTAAAAAAAAAATGAAATTACTTACAAGTATTAATTATACCACAGGAGGCATGTTCTCTGTGTATTTTGAGCTATTAAATGCAAGATATCATAACACAGCCCTTTTGGATTTAAGCATGATTTTTGATCCGTGTCAAAGCTCAGTAAGTGTTGGAGTCGTTCAGTCTGGTTAGCAAGTCCTGGTTTCTTATAGATGGCAAAAATGGTAAAAGCTGTGGCTCAGGGGATCTGAGAGTGGCCGTTCATCAATTAGAGTCATTGGTCTGGCCCCCAGCATCCCCAGTCCACCGGTCAGCCTGTCCTTCAGAACATCACTTAGCCTCACCGTGTGTGAACACAGTGTGTGTTTGTGGGTGTGTGTTTGTGGGTGTGTAGGATGAGCGCACTGCACTGCCTGATGGCGGCCGATTGTGGAACAGGGGAGGTGGTTTCCAGTGTAAAGGCATTTTGAGCACTTAACACCATTTTTTTCTAAAAAGTCCACTTAATTATTTTCCTCACACAAATTCTCCTTGGAGTGGACTCAGCCGGTGGCTCTGCAGCCCGCAGCTTCCCCTCAGCTTCAGACTGCTCCTCTGGTTTTGTGGGTGGCGGTAGCACATTCTCAACCAGGTTGCAAAGTACTTCTTATATATTTTGGTCCTTTGTTTTCGTGGGCCGTTCACATGTGACTCCATTAGCTCTTCTCAGGAGCTGAGCTCACCACGTTTTCCCTCCAAACACCTGAAACTTTGTGCACTTCAGCACAAACGCTAGCTAGTCTCTGATGGTTGATATTTTTAGGTGTCAGGTTTGGTATTGACGTGTTACTTGCATGTTTTTTGTTTTCAACAGGAGCATAGCAAATATGGTGTCACAGCTTAAAGGTCCAATCTGAAACCCTCTGTTGCAGCTAAAACAAACTGAAAATCTAATTCCATTGGCACAAATGTTTTTCTCTTCTGTAAAAACAACTCTCTCCAACTTTGGACATAGATTGATTGTTTTAAAGTAAAGAAACTCAAATCAATCTCTTTTTTCTAGCAATTCAATAGTGATTAAAAAATTATCCAAAACCATGATCCAATTTAATCTAATAACAAATAATGCCAGTTCATAAACAGTATTCCAGCTGTTAAACCGCCAGATCCCAATAAATATTTGCTTCTTTCAATAAATGTGACTCAGAGTTGCGAAACACATCAATCTAAATGTTCATCATTGAAACTTACAAGAATATTTTTTCTTTTATAGTTGGATTATTGCCAGTGGGTCAAACTGAGGCAGACTGAAGTTATGGAACCTTCTTTCTGGAGAAAGATCTGGAGACAGTTATGGATATTAAATCTCATGTGCAGGCAAAGATTCTGCTGATTTGTGGGCATTTTCAGCCCAGCAATAGAAATGTCCACAGTCACAGTAGAGAAATCACATGGAAACCCACGGTTTCCTGAGCAGGGGGCTGTAATCAACAGCACGGCGAGGCTCAGAGAGGTGAAAATCACTTGTTGAACTACAGAACCACAGGATTGGGTAGCTCTATGGCATGTGTGCAGCTTATTGTTTACACTACAGAGAATGAGTTTCCTCAAAAAACATTGCAAAGTTTAAGAAAACATAAAGTTTACGTCAGATATAAGATACTGTTAATATTTACAAAGCATGTCTTGTTTACAACAGCCTATTCTTGCGGAAATTCCAGTTTGCTGCTGAAAGGGCCCGGGCCCTGCTGAAGTCTCTGTGATTGCTCAGTCACGCGATGCAAGCTTTGCAAAGATGGGCAGAAATGAGAAGGGCATCATTTTTAATATTTGTGCGATGTATATTGTTACTATGTTGTTGCATTTGTTGAAGTTTTTCTAATGTAAGTAGCTCCACTATAAAATGTACCAAAACAAAATGTGTTTCCCCTCCCCCTCCACACTGATCCCTCTGAGGACGTGTGTTATTGATCCTGTTCATAGACCACATCTGAAGCTCTTTAGAGCGCGCATATGTGGGCATCACGATGTTTGAACTGGGAGTCTGGCACACACTGCCAGGCTCTCTCACTCAGACACCAGGATGGATCATGCTTGACTCTGAATAGATTTTTTTCTCTTTCTTTTAACGACCGGGGTTGCAGTTTAACCCCTGCAGCCCTAAAAACGTAAACAACCGAGAGCCGGACGACCTTTTTCTGTGGTGCTGTTCTGCTAAATCTCCGCTGCACAGAGGCAGCATACAGATGTCCTGTCCACTCACAATTAAGCTAACAGCTCCGTGTCATTACCTCCGTCACTTTAAGTGATGGGCCTGGCGTGTTTGTTGGCAGCAGCTCGTGCACGTGTGTCAGGGCGGCCGACTGCTTCTGTAATCACATCATTTTAATTTCAGGAACAGCTCTTACGCTCTTCAGTTGTATCGTTGAACTCTCTTCACCTACAGTTTCAGAATTGATATTGTTTGATTTGTTAGATTCCTTTCCACTCTATCTTCCATGCACTTTGAACACAATGTGATTTTGATATCACACCTTCACAGCTGGGAATGACATTTTCAATACATCCAATCTGGCTTTGTGTGTTTCCCCCCCCCCAAGTGTTAACAACCTCTCAGACACATTGATCTGTGAGACACAAGCCCACTGTGAAACCTTGTTGGCATCTCAATATCCTCCTTGAAACAATGACCCCCCACTCTTTTTCACTGATGAATAGCTAATGAATACAACCAACATGTGGTTTTGATTTTGTAACCTGTCTGCCTTTGTATGCAAGCTCAATATTAGCAAAAGAAAAAAAAAACTAACTGCATGCGAATGTCATGTTTTGTCACAAGATGACTTTGCCTAATGTTTGATACCATTTTCTGTATAAACCAACAGAATATATGACCGTGGATGCTCTAAGATTGCGCTAAAAGTCAGTCTTTCCTTCGGGAAACATTTTGTACCTTTGAACACTATCGCGTTGCCTGTTTGGCTGCTGTATTGACTATTTGGAAGTGTGACTTGATGTGAATTAAAATCTTTCCTTTGTTGTTTTGTTTCCTTTTTAAACTCAGGCACTTGTTTTCCGTTTTCTGGTTCCTTGAATGTATGAAATATAAATGCCGTGTAACAAATTATATTTTAGACCTTTGCCAAAAAAAAAGATTTTGTGCCTTTTCTTATTCGATCATCACACCTTATGGCATGGGTTACCTTACTATTGCCTTTACTTTTAAAGAAACAGGCCTATATGGGATTGTATTTAGCCGTATCTGGTGTTCTAAGAGATTACTTTCAGGACCCAACAAGTACCCTTAACCAATCCAACAGTGTGGGATCTTTTGATAACCCCATGTCGGGGGCAGTTTTCTGAAGACATCACCATTTTTCCACACACAAGTATTTCTCTTGGCAGTGAAACATACCACAACAAAATATTGAAAAAAACATAACTGAGTGGCCATTTGTTTGAAAGATGGAATGTTTTGGAAATGCATTTCACAAAGACAACGAATATACAGAATATAAAACATGTGTCATTTAGCATTTCCTATTGGCACGTTTCACTACACAGAAAACAGCCGTAATCATAAAACAACCAAAAGAAAATCGAGCAGACTTAACAACAAAACTAAAAGAGAGACTGTTTTTTAATCATTTATTTGAATAACTCCTTATTCATTTTAAGTGTGTTTCTGCTTCGAAAGTCATCTCCACCATGTTCCCCTGAGTGCTTCCTCTCTGGAAGTGGGGGTGTCAGATGTGGCATCATTTCTGCAGCTCATCAGTCTTCATGCAAATGAGGAAAGCGGCGGGCAGCTCCTGCCACTCCAGCGTGGGTCTGCTCTGTTCTGACGGAGAGCAACAGGAGCCGTGTTACTGCTGGGAGTGCTGCTAATGAGAGGCCAGCTTATCACGCAAGTTTAAGTCAGTGAACGCACCCGTTCAGATGGCAGCATGAATCATGGGCTCTTTAGGGTTTCATCCCATTTAAAGTCATGTCTGACTGTCTAAATGACATAGAAGTATTCTGCATGCAAAATAAAGTGTTGATGGAGCTGACCTGACAGTAGAGGTGCAGTATATAGCAATTTATGGATTTATGGGATTTATGGAGTGATTACATGGCCTTATTATAACACTGCAACAGCTAAATACCATAACCTACTAGATTGGAATTGGGGCAGTAGTGGCAGATTTAGAGTTAGAATTATGAGAAATCTCTCTGTTCCTATTTTCCAACGCTTTGTGACCAAATGTTAGACATATTGTTGTGGTCCTATTGTTACTGTTGCTCTAAGTGTGACATCTAAGCCAAGACTTAATGAAGGGATTTTTAGAGGTTATTTCCATGGACTTGTGATAATGATCCAGGCACAATGATATTCTTTTAGAGACCGTTTGAAAATGCCACTAAAACATGAGTTTTTTAAAAGTTGCTTTTTAAAACTGGAGCATCAAACCAGTGAAGCTCCTCAGTAAACAACACAGACCTAACTGTGTTTGGAAATGTAACTGATCAAGCAGAGCAGTGTCTATTCAGAAAAGTGGTGATTTGTACATGGCCACAAAAGTGACAGGGGGATTTTTCAAGCAGTTCCACAAGGACATTGTAAGACTGATTCAGATCTCCCTTTTGTGCCATGAGTCAGGCCATCCTTGAAGAAAACCATAAGGCTGCACAGCTTTGGCTGGTATACCCAAAGCAAAAGGAACGTGCAGTCAGCTGTAGAACTGCATATATCTTCATCCCTTTATAGTCCATTTCAACCCATAATGGGCCAGCAGGAAGAGCTGAGAGCCGCTGAGAGCCAGACGGAGGTGCTGATTGTGCTGATGATTGTCATTACTAGAAAACAACATTTTTCTGTGTGATACACATTAGAAAAATCAACTAGTCCTACAAAACCAGCATCTTCCCAAATTAAATCAGGAGCTGGTGCAAGTCAGAGCAGAGCTAACGGGAGAATAATCATTATTTAATTTTGTTAATTTTGTTAGTTTTCACCTTGATAGACAGAAATAGAATAATTTTTCAAAATATTGTAAAGTCAGCACGAACAGATTTATAGGTCCAGCTTGTCACATTTGTTGGTCACTTGCTATGAACACCTCTGAAACTAGAGCAGGTCTTTTTAAATGTTGTGATGAAGAGCGTTACACTAACTCCTGTCTACCTCACGGTGAGCAGAAGTGGACTTTTTCCACCTGAAAGTCAGCTTCAGAGGGATATTAAGAATGTGCAGAACTTTAGAAAATTGCCATTTACTTTTGAGTATTTTCAACTTTTTTTGATTTATGTCTTCAAGCACAATAGAAAATAAGTCCATTTAGCTGTCTACCAGATGTGGAAAATCATGGAAAGATGAATGGGTGGCTCTGGGGGTTCACTGAAAGGACTCCATTCCTGTAGGTAATGAGGAAAAAGAAACATTAGAGACCATCAGAGGATGAATGAAGCCATCACAACCAGGCCATCAAAATGAAATGAGTACAGAAAGTTAATGATTTACTTCTCTTGGAGCACGCTCACTAGTTTTGTTCAAAGGGCCTTTTATGACAGAATGAAAAGGTGTGGCTGAGGGTAAGGACCAGTGTTTACAGCGGATCTGGAGGTTTGCTTTGCATGTCCACCACAACCATAAATTATTAGGGCAAGCAATACGACACATACCTGATTCATCTATCCATTCTGTTCTGATCAAATATATGTCTGCTCGCCAGTCTCCATTCCGTACAAATCATCCAGGAACAACAGGATTTTTGGTGCTGTTTTAATGAGAATATTGTAATTCTAACGTTTGTTCTGCTAAATCATATCTATTTGGAATATTTTGTTACATTATATTACAACAATTTCAGTTTAGACATGAAGAACTCACAGGAAACCTGAGCTAAAAAAACTGTGAATAATTCCCTAAAATAAACAATAAAACAGCTAAATTGTAATGCAAATCCTTCTGATCCCCACATAGACCGGGGATTGGTGCCGGCCACCCCCAGTCAGTGGGTCACCAGGTGGGAACCTCCTTCATCAGAGGTCCATCTATCTGGTATCACACTCATCCAAACAGCTCACACACTCATGCAAACAGTCACTGAGAATCCAGCAGCAAACACACACACACACACACAGGCCCACTGGCCTAAAGCTGCTGCACGGTTTATAACTTATCTCATAGTTCAAGTTGAGCCCACAGACCAAGTTATTCCGGGATATTCCGAGTGTATTAGGCCCACTCATGCATGGAGATTGGAGTCTGCACAGATCACAGTTGTGTGCAGCTGTAGAGGGAGGTACCTCTCAGAAAAAAGGAATAAGCCCGGCCAAAACCCTGGTTCTGCTCGGGTTTCATCTGGGTCACGGGGAAGAGATTAAAGTTAGACGGCCTCCTATATTCTTCAGGCCTGAGACTGTTTCTGTATAGTAGCACACGCGTCACACTTCAGCGTGCCTGCAGCTCCAGGGTCTCTTCACTTTTTCTGCTTTTTAAATTACTAAACGTCACATCCACATTCATTTGATCAAACTGAAGACTGGAATCCATGGCTCCTATAAGCCACGCAAAGTTCAAATATCATGATCACCCACTTAAACAGAAGTGTCTGGAAAAGTATATATGATTTCTGCACCTATGCTGACTCATGCATTCACTGGTTATGGGAGACTAGAGTGTTATTTCTAAACCCAGTGCATATATTTTAATCTGCATGACAAACCTGGGATTTCAGAGAACCAACACATTATGTATTACATTAGGTTGATGAACATGATGACCTTTAACTATTACACCTTACAGACAAAGGAACAAAAACCTGGGTGTAAAGTTCCCTAAAAATGTTTCTTATTTATAATCCACTCTGTAGTTTCTTCTGTATTATAGATACCCAGACAGATAATCCACGAGACAGTCATGGGTTTAGAGCCCAGTGAGAGGTCCAACAGCCTAACCTGCTGGAGACTAAAGCAGGCATTAGTCCTCCTGGTTAGACACTATTCCTCTGGTTCTGGTTCTGATGGGGAACCCCACAGGTCAGACCCATTCGGTCTGAGACAAAAGGACATCTGAATTATTATTCTCAAATAATCAGGACACAAGATGTGTGTTCAAAATCATGTAAAACTGCTCTGTTCTTGTAATCAATGCATTTTCTAACAATCTTTAACAGTAAACGTTGTTGTATTGTGTCATTACATTCCAAAATATTCACTTCTTCTTGCAAAAATCTGAGAATACATTTTTTGGTCAAGTGGCGAAAATATGGATTCCTTTCTACAATGAAAACATGAATAAACAAATCCCATAGTAAATGAAGTCTGTAGCTTTGTGAGCTAAAATGTGTCGTTCAGATAAGGATAATCCAAAATGAGCATTTGTGATTTATCCTGTGGAGAGTAGGGAAAACCACAAGCAAAAGCCTTTCTTTATTGTGATGTGATGGCTGAGCACAAAGCCACCAGAGAGCCAGCGGACCACGTAACGCTCTGCACCCAATATAAGGCCAACAGGTTTTTCCATAGGCACCCAGAAATACTGAAGCCCATCCCAAAGTCATGAGAGTATCCTGTTTGTATATTAAATCTATAATGTAGAATAGAAAATAACTATTTTGGAGCTGAAAATTTGATCGCATAAGACCTTGACAAAATGAGAAAAAAAGAATTAACTTCAGATGAATAATACCACATGAGAGACTACATTTCCTCAGCCCTCAGTGAGCGTGATGGATGCTGAATGTTCATGGAAGAATGGATCCAAAAGCACTGAATGGACCGATTCTTTCCTTTTTCTTTGAAAAACATGGCAGCACATTTCAGGATTGTAAGCTACAGCTGAACGAAGCACAAGACCTCTGGAAAACAGTCGTCTGGATATAGACCCCTGGTCCACTCTGAAAACATCCTCTTTCAGACGAGAGCCCAGACGTTCTGGAAGAGAATATGTCAGACCATGATGGACAGCAGATCAGCATGAATTCCTCATATCGACAATAATTAGGGCCTTCTTCTGGAGCTGTTGAATCAGGAGGACTAAATATTTCACACAAGGTTTCTGTTTTTTCATTTGTATTTGCTCTGCACAGCAGAACTCGCTGTTGCGTATGTGTTGTTATTCATCCAATACCAGATAACCTCTTATTAGTTATGTGCTGATAAAGACTTTAAATTGACAGAGAATATCCTCTCATATTTTTATGTACGTATTTTCATGTACGTATTCCTCTAATGTCTATTTTCCACTAAAGAACACAAAATAATATGAAGAAGACTGAATAGAAGTTTTGCTCGACTAAACTATCATTTCTTACTGTTATTTGTTTTCTACATAATTTCATCTTTCAAGATTTGCAGACAACAATGAAAAGAGAGTTAATAACTACAATGGTTCAGTGGAGCCAAACAGTGATGCCTAATGTTCTACTGTCATGGTTTGTGCATTTATTAATGCATGCGCCCATTTGCTTTCAAATATTTAGTTGACAACAACTAAGCGTTATATTGAAGTGTTTTCCTGACACAAAAAGGCACTGTGGTATCAATTATCACGCTGTTGTGGTAATGCTGCTTCTCTCCTTGTTTGCTTAATCAAGAGTTTGCTGTGGGCTGCTACCACTAATTGTTCTGGTAATTAGAGCCTTGGCTGGAAAGGCTGTCTGCCACAGACAAACACTGCAGCCTCTTTAGTGTTATTAGATTAGAACGTAGCTGTCAAACATGTTAGACATTCAAATTAAAAGCAAGAGCAAAGACACTGGAGAGAGAGAGGTGGTTAGGAGGTCAATGTGCTGGTCTTAACAACAATATTCTGGCTATGGCAGACACCGTTCAAAATCAGGATTAAGAGGCTCCTCACAGTGGATCATTTGGGGTTTCAGAATTAAAGAAAAGGATGTGAAGTGGTGAGTGTGTTCTTCAGAGGCAGAAATACCCAACGCGTGGCAGAAAGGAAACTGCTATTACTGCCACGAGTACCTTTCAAACTGTCAGAAACTCTGCAGGTCAAACAACACTGCTCCATTTTTCATTTCCCTTTTATGGCAGACTGGTCAGGGCTGTGGCCAGTCGTCCAGCGCTCCTCTACAGATTCTCTACCGCTTCTGATACCTCTAAGCATCTGGGCCAAAATAAGCAGACACAGTTTGGTGCTGCTCAGCTTAGCTGCAAAAATAAATAGATAAAAGGAACAATGGGTATCAAATTCACAAGAAATATTACATGTGATAAATAAATAGTAAATTTTTAAGTTTTTAGCTGTAACTTTTAGTGTTAGGAGTTTGAAAGATGTGCATTTGCTGTTCAGCTCCTATCCTGTGAGTGCTCCTCCACCCAGAAAACGGCCTGCATGCTCACAGCCGTCTCCCCGTAATCACACACATGAATCCATGTGGCTACTGCATAATAAAGGTAACAATAAACACACAACTGAAAGACAATAATACAGTTCCTGTATCATTGTACTTTGGTGGTGTGACGTTCCTCATGTGTCTGTACTGAGATGAGGGGGCTGGTTTTCCAGAGGGCTCCAGGGGTTGGGACAGTAGCTTTTTTTCATATTTACCTGGTATTTTCAGCTCCAGCTTTTCTAGCTTGACTGAGGCTGAAACAGGGTTATTCAATTTCACCAGTAAAACCAATGAATACAAATCAGCCTGCTGTTAAGGCAGGACAACACAGAGCTCAGCACTAACAAGTGGACACGGTGTGCACATCTTGAAAATGTTGAGAGATGACAGTGCGGCTGTGTTTAAGGCTGCTTTTCCTCTCAAGACGGCTATTTTCCATTTTAATTACAGCTTTCATAGCAGAGAGCGTGGTTTTCCAGGGCAGCCTCACAGCAGGGGGGGCATCCACACAGTCCAATTCAAAGACTACCAAAGCAACAGGTTGCCAATTATCGTGCTGTTAACTTTATCAAACACACAGGTGCCCTTCACCACAGCACAGAGCCGTGCAGACGGCCACTCACAGAGCTTCACCTGAGGCTGCCCAGTGGCTGCACGTGTCACCTCACTGCTCACTGTCGGCCATGACCATCGTCCCAAGTGGCATTTTTCAAGAATAAAGTCGATCAATGTGTTCCTTTTGTCATCCTCTTCTTTTTTTCTAATAAAAATATGTAATTGTAGTTCATTTTTTATACCTCCAGTTACAATAATATCTTATCATTCTTCTGGAAACTTGATATTCATTTATACAATTCAGTATTTTTCAGTATAACTTATAGAGGTACAACACGTAGACTGTGTATTTCATTATAATTTACAATTCCTCAGCAGTTTGGTTGTTGTAGCGTTTAGTCAAATGCGTGGGACAAAACACCATTTCCCATGGTGCATAGCTCCAGCGCAGCCCCGCCCCCTGAGTTTGAATGGCAAGTTGTTTGTTTCACTCCGACCAGCTGCTAACTATTCCATTCGGAAAGCAAACATGGGGACCAGCAGGCTAGAGCTCTTCCAAGTTCGACAAGTTACGGGAGGATTGTTGTAAAGCCACTTCCGGTTAAAAAAAATCTTCAAAATAAATCCCTTCAAATTTCAACATTCAATTTCCATTTCTTTACTCTTCTCACTGTGTGAATTAGATTTGTCATGATTGTTTTTCTGATGCCTGGATCACTTGCTAGATTTAGTGTCAAATGATTTATCAATTATTGTCCCAAATTCCCTTCAGATGCCAAAACTATCTTTTATTATCCATATTCAAAATAAAGGTAAACTTCTGGAGATGTCCTTAAGAAGTTACACGTTATTTAGCAGGTCAGATTGTCGCCCATTCTGTTTCTATAATGATTTGACTTTTATTTAATGTTTCAGCTATTTTAACCCTAACCTTGAACCCACCAAGGAATATGCTACAGCAAATGGATGAAAAAAAGAAAAAGAAACTATTTAAAAGTATGTATTCTACATCCTGAATCACAAAAATGTAGCTGTTGTCACTTTATAACATAGTTAGTTTTTATTAAATTGTTTCTTTACAACATGGTTGATTGGACTTCCACATTTACTATTTTTTTTTCTTTTTGTTTTTGTTTTTGTTTTTGGGACATTTGAGCCTCGAAGCAAATAATTTCCCATGTCTTTGTCATATTTCTTTTTGTATTATGTCTAGGTTTGTGCTCTTTGTCATTCTGTGTCTCCTGTGCATATAATTTGGTTCACTGTCTGACTCCTCTGGGAGGTTCTGGCATGAGACCTGGACCCTGGACCTGCGGCCCGTGGGTAGACTGGTCCAGTGGTTCACCAACATGCCCTGAATGCTAAATTAAGCTACGACTATATTCAAGAACAAGGCTCATAAAATTAGTAGCTGTTATTGGCAAGAAAGCTCGTTCCATTTAGCTTAATCATCATCAGCAATATGTTTAAGACTGAAAGAGAAAAATTTGGAATAAAATGGGTGAAGGTCTTTTTGTGTAGGATATTAAATATAGTTAAAAGTAGCAATTAGAGAATATAATGATTACCAATTCCAATGAAGGGCCAAACTCATCAGTGTGCTCTCCTCTGGGCTCTTATTTCGAAACTCTCGCAGCGGAAGTGAGCGGGCTTCCGCTGCGGCTTTGACAGCGGCTCCGGTTTTGCCTCTTTGCTTTCTTTATTCCTCCCTGCCTCCCGTTTCTTTCTGTTTAAAGAGCCTCACGCTGCCGTATGTGTGTATTTATTTATTTATGCATTCTCCCGGAAAGTATTTAGTTTTTACTATTTAGTCGTTCCTCAAATGAGAAGACGGAAAAGATGGAGCTCCACATATTAGAGCACAGCCTGAAAGTGGCGAGTATAGAGAAAGAGGGGATTCAGATTTGCACTCACGGATTAATAAAACTCGCCTTCTTGGCCTCCAAGACCAGGTGCGTAACTTCTCCGACATGCTAGCCGAAGCCGAGCCCCCGGCCCGGGGAGCTGTGGCTGTTTACGGGGTTAGCAGCCGAAGTCCGGCCGCTGAGACCCGCTCCTGCTAACGCCGGAGGGGCCGCGGCTAGCGGGGCTGCTCCCGTCCGGGAGCCCCGGGGCTCCTGCTCCCGTCCGGGAGCCCCGGGGCTCCCCGGGCTCCTGCTCCCGTCCGGGAGCCCCGGGGCTCCTGCTCCCGTCCGGGGTTCCTGGTCCTCAGGCTCCTAGTCCTGGGGCTCTTGGTCCCTAGGGCTCCTGGACCTGGGGCTCCTGGACCCGGGGGTCCTGCTCACCTTCTGGAGCCGGTCCCTGCCACCAGTTTTTGGACCTGTGCTTGTTGTGTAGTGACATTTTGTAGCTTTGTGCCTTCTGTAGTTGGGCGTGTGGGTGTGTGTGTGTGTGTGTGTGTGTGTGTGTGTGTGTGTCCTTAGGTTTTCGTATCATCAGAACCGGCCCGGACAAACTGGAGTGGGCAGAGGGGGACATGGTCAGAGCTGCGGCCTCAGTCTGAGAGGTCAGCCTGGAGGAGGTCAGCTGTGGGGAACCCTGGGTTCTGGAACCTGGGTTCAGGAGCCGGGGGGTTCGGGACCCTGGGTCCCAGACCCAGGGTTTGGGAGCCCGTTAGTCACCTGTGTGGACCCAGGGTTTGGGAGCCCAGTTTGGCGTGGGCCGGCTTGGTTCTGCCTGCTGGTTCCAGACTACTGAAGATAAAAGAACCCACTTAGAGCAGCAGAAGTCCTGACCAGTGTGGTCAGCCGTGGGGACCCTGGGTTCGGGACCCTGGGTTCGGGAGCCCGGTAGTCAGCAGTGTGGAGGTTCTGATCCAGCCCTCCCAGACCTCAGTAGTTCCTCACACTTCTCTGGGGTCCTGCTGACCGGCCTGCTGTCCAGTCTGAGGTGACATGTGGAGCCATGTTCTGCCACATCCATCATTTACTGTGAAAGGTCCACAAAATGATTTAATCTCTGGTGGAAAACAGAAAAAGTCTTTGTTTTAGGTAGCGGCAGCAGACTGTTAGCCTGTGGAAGCGTTGGTCCATCATTCAGGACAGAAGCTCTGTTCTTCAGCTTTAATGTGTCCACATCTTTAACCCAGGTCGTCTTTCCTTTTTAAAAGCATCTGTCCACGTTGGAGGGGGGGGGGGGGGGGGGGGGGGGCGGCTCCACCGTCTGACAGGGCATGCAAAGAAACACTAGCTCCAACCATCCCAGACTCCCAATGGAACAAGCACCAGGACATTTGTGCTGGACAAAGTTACTACATGTCCAGACATGAGCGGTGACCCCCTGCCACTAGCCCCCCCCCCCCCCCCCCC